TTTCCTAACACGTATTTAACAAAACAGCCATGCCCTGCTCAAAATGAGCTCTGAATTTGTTGTGCAGGTGGAACTAAGCCTAAAACAAGGAGCCAAGTAGATGCCAAAAGTTTGTACAGCAAGAGCCTAAGCACTGACTTTATTGAGCAGATAAATGTGGTTATACATAAACAAATGTAATCTGTTGGCTGCCACAGATATCCAATACACTAATTAAACGAGGAGGGAAACAAGTTAAATGGGTCAAGCTTTTATTATGATGGAGACTTACAATATCCAAATTGTACGTTCTTGGGAAAAAATGTGTTGGCTCTTATTATGTTATTTTAAAGATAGTTCAGCATGAAGAAGTACAATCTTACTACATTTCTTACATAAATGTCTTCCTTTACTTATGTAATTTTTCATATGGAAGAGTTGTAAAAATGCTAAGCAGTATAAACACTAAAACCAAAAAAGGTTAAGATAAAAAAGGGACCATTTTTCCTGCCACAGCTAAACACTGTTATCAAATGGAAGCTAAGAAATAACTGATCTCGGTATGTGAGTAATTAAAAGCATTTTTACAAAGAAGCCTGCCAGACTGTCTTCTGCATGTACTATAGAGCTGCGGTAGTGTTCATAGTGTTATCTCACTGGTAGTGTTATCTAATCCAATGTAAGCACTTGGATGACATAAGAATAAGGAATTCTTAATCTCTCCATTTATTTATTCCTAATTTCATGAGAGTTAAGCTTTAAAATGAGACCTGAGTTAACTCCCTGAACCTTTGGATGATGCATATATCACGTCTTGACCTATCCTGTATTTTTTGAACTCAAGTTCTGTTTCCAGGATTCGGAAGTTGATTTCTTGCTGTCTGTCTACATTGGCTCTTAGCTGCAACTTGCTTTCTCTTTTTCTTTTTTCCCCTTTCTGCTCTTTAAACCACAAGAAATACTTGCTCCTCTCTTAAAATATAAATAATTAAATAGCACTCTCAAATTAAGATCTTTAAAAGAAAATGGGAAGAAAAATAAGATAAGAAATCTAGTTTTTGCAAAATTTTCCTCAAAAAAATTCCTTAAAATAATGACTAAACTTAAAGATCTCTGTTGCTATCTGAAAACAGGAGTTAATTAGAAATATTCATGTGAAGTCATGAGACATTTTGCATTACCTTGAATTAATTTTTGCCTTGCTATTTTCAAATTAATTATGTTACACACATGAGACTCCTCCTGGCACTTTCTTAACATCTGGATGCCCTTGTTATATTTTTTACCCAGGAGTCTGTAGATTCTTTTGGACCAAGTGATTATTTCCCTGGATAAGTTTCTGGTCAGGTGAATTTTCATTGTTTCTGTCATTAATTTTTCCTTTCTCACTACAAGGAACATTTTGTTTAACTCTTACATAAATATAAGAAAGGGGAGTATTAATTACCAGTCAACTTCCGCTAGTAGTGCCTGGAAAACATCAGGTGTCAAGGAAATAAAAGCTGCAGCTTGCTTTGTTAAGAAAGATCAGTGGATAACAACAATGAACCACACTGGACAACATATACCTAGGACTTACCGTCCTGCTTTTTTTCTTCTCAGACTTAAATTAATATTCCATGGCCTATCCTACCATTTCACATTATGGAGAGCTGACTCTTCCTCTAGCTTCCTTAAGATCTCTTTTCTGATATGAACTAAATTTTGCTTCCTTCTGCCATCAGAAAGCCAGTTTCAAATCAGACTCTGAGAGTATGAGCTCAGCTTTCTTATATTTGAAAACATGCAAAAGTATTTTGGACATGGGGACAGAAAAATATGCAAATAATGCAATAAATGAAGTTTAATCAAGCCAATATTTCTCCTTAGAAAATATCATTTGAGTTATTCGCATCCACTAGCATTAAAGCTGTGGCTTTTGGAGGCAGGTTGGGATATGCCAGCTGTTTAAATGTTCCAAATTCTAACATATTTTAAGAAGACAGTTTTAACAGAAACACCCTCAGTGATTGTGCTCCCTCAGATCCCACAAGAAAAGGCTGTTGGAGCAGGTTGCAGATAAAGATATCCAGCAAAACTGGAGTTACAAAGCCTCTTTGATCCCAGTAAGTTGGATTTATTCTTGTTCATATAGTGTAGTGGAAGCCACGGTGCAGATGAAAGAGTTGGTTAAGTAACAAAGATTTCCAGGAAAGAAAACTAACTTCCAACCAGCGCTGATGTTTACACTTCATGCAATGTACCTGAACAATTTTAAACAGACGGAAAGGAGAGGGAGAAAGACAGCCCAAACATCCGAATGTGATTGCCTGGAAAAGCATTGTGGTCTGTGCATAACTTCATCTTGTCAGAGATGATGTCCTGCCTCTGGAAGCAGTTAAATTTAGAAAAGAAAGAAAGTGCTTACTTAAATACAAAAGCTGGTTCAGATGTTTTTTAACCATTTCTTTCAGGGCTTTAAATAATGCTCGAATATTGAAGTCAAACTTCCACTGAACTAAGTCAGCGCAGTCAGCAGATATGAAATGAACCTGCAGATACAAAATGAACCTGCTTAAACTGAGCTCCTCACTCCATCGCGTGTGACTTGCGATAGCCGTGGCGCGTGTCTGTAACAGTAAGAAATAGCAGCTCCACTCACCACAGAGGCAGCCAAGCTCTCATGTGCTGGCTGGCCATTTCCCAAACTTTTGGGATGTTTGTTATTCTTTGTCATAACAACAATGTTCATTCCCTTTGTGTTCCTCTTAGCGAGACAGGAAAGTTACCCTTTATCGTTAACTGGAAAAATTATGCTTCTCAGAAAACACTACTGTTTCTAGAATAGTCCCTCATCTGGTCTTCTCTTTACTAAAGCCAGCTGATTCTCTTACTCTTTCCTTCTGCCAGATGATACGTACACAGATTCTTACATTAAATCCTTTCATAATACTGTTTTCCTACTAAGAGTTCCTGCAGTAACTATATGAATGTTAATTGCTCGGAGAGGGAGAAAGGAGCCATTTGGTTTGTGCATATGCAAAGAAGTGGCCCTCTTTCTGTCATAAGATGTGGTGAATGTTGCAAATTAGTTTGATAGCAGCTGATCCATCTTTTCTGATAGGCTGGTGAGAACATTTGACTCAAGCTCCTGCCACTTAAATTCCCAAATGTGGACTATAACCTGCAAGAAAGAAGATATTTTCTTATGCCTGTTCTAAACATCAGTAGTGAAATAATCAACTCCCGTCTAAACTGAATTTTAGATTTTTGAAAAAATATTCTTTTTTGTCCTAACAGAATAAAGCTTTTTTTTTTTTTTTTGAGTGGCTTATTAATAAACTGCATTGTCAAGGTAAGATTGAGCTGTACCATAACAAAAACCGTATCATTAAATTATTCTGCTGATACCAGTTATGAAATCCTCACTGGAGTCAAATTAGGCATGCATCCATTCACCTTACTTTACTTCTCATATGTACACAGTTGTAGATTGGATTTTGCTGGGTAGAAAAGGAACCAGAGACAGGAAAAGAGAATCAGCTAGCTTCCCGGTCTCCCTGTTTAATTACATTTGTAGGGAAGCCAAATCATCCATGGATTCAAATGAATGTACAAGTCTAATTCCACTCATGGTATTCAAGTGCACTTCAACAAAATAGCAAAATACATATTAAAAATGTTCCAATCTCGTGTGCATCACGGTGGCTATATGTGGTACATGAGAACAATAGTGAAACATCACAAAGCACATCGCAGCGTAGACAGGATAGCTTTCACTTGAATTTAATGAGGCAGTAATCATAATGAAAGACAAATTAAATCACAGCTTACTGAAATTCTCCATTCTGAAAAGAGTATTAATGCCACAGTGAGTCTCTGAGCTGCAGCTAACTGCTTGAGATGATGCAGCATGCTCCACTGGTTGATTCTAAAAGTGGTAGAAAAAGGCTAAAGCCACTCTATACTGTCAAACATACACCAATGGCAAAAGAAAATTACTTTCAGACATAGATACTCTGTTAACTCTCAAATGGTACAGTACTTCATTTGTAGCAACAGCAAGACTGAGGCATTGAAAAATTACAGATCCAGAACTAAAGACTTTACTCATGTAAGTAAGCTCATCATTCACCTAAATGAGGACTGCTGGGGTTGAGGCCAGAACTCTATCAGTATAATACTAGAAAAATATATTTAAATTACTTCACAATAATGAATTGAGTGAGAAACCTAATCTCAACAGGACTAAGATTTCCTTTTATAAGGATTAATAATATTGCATCACTAACGATGATTCTGTATTCAAAATTATTTCATGCCAGCACAAAATCTTTGGAGGGGGAGAAATCTCACAAGTATCCATTTTATTGCCTTATCCAGACTCTGTGGGCTATGCATATAAAGCAGATGGTCAATCAATTTGAAGGAACTGTTGAAGCAATACTATGCCATCTCTGCTACATGTTCCTCTTCCTGTTGTTGAGTGACAGCTAGTCATGAATTACAGCCTACAGCCATTAAACTGCTTTTCTTTCAGTATGAGCTTGCAGTTTGACATGGGTTAAGCAGCTCAAATGCCAACCTACAGGAATCCTAAAAAGGCGAAGCAGGGCCTCTCAGGGCAGACTTTCATGCCACTGGAGCCCCAGCAATTACATCTATCACTGTGAATCCACCATCTGATACGACCTTGCCCTTTCTCTGTTCAGGGGAGAAGAAGAGGGCACTCCTTGCTCCTACAGTCATAGGCTTGCACCAGGCAGGAGCCCTGCCAGGGCTGGTCACCTCCTAGCGGGTGCAGGAGCTCCTCCCAAGGGGATAAGATGGCTGAGCAAGTATTTAGTATCACTTCTCCCAGTGCCATTGCTGTTAGCCCTCTTCTATACTATTACAAGGGAACTACCACCCCTTGTTTCTAGCCACGTGGCCAGATATACGTGACTGAATAAGAAAATAAATATGGATACCTGATGATTTGGGGCAGCTAGGCAGAAAGGGGGATGGGAATAGCTGCTATACAAACCTTACAGTTTCAAGTATTATGACAAATCTTGAAAATTTCCATTTTCATAATGGTAAGAAGTCTGTTCTTCCATGTCTTGAGTTACTTGCTTTTGCTTTCTCCATTCCCTTCTCTGTACTTCACTGTTTTGACTGGTAGCACCGTACATTTTCTTTGGACTTACAAAAGTTTCATTGTTCATCTCTGTTTCTTCAGCTAGTTCATCCTGATCAATTATGCCACACTTCTCTTCATTGAGGCTTTCAGGGTTGACTCCACTGTAATGCACCAGGGCTGCGATCAGAAAGACGTTTTGCCATTCTTCCCTGGTCTGAAAGAATGGTGCAGGTCTCATTAAGTTTTTAGTAAGAATAAATATTACCTTTGAATTAGACCATGAATTAGCACATATTGACCCATGGCCATGATCACTGTTTGATTCCTGATGTTACAGATAAAACAATTTCTGAGAGTCATTGTGAATATTTTTTTTATAACAATGGTTAATAAAATAAAACATGGGATTTTCTTTTTCTCTCACAGTGAAGTTTCTCTCTTGCATGTGAAATATTCATGGAGTTGGAAATGCAGGGATTTCTCTAACACCTAAGTTAATCTTACTGTAGATCAGTGATTGCTTAGGAACACTACAGGGGATGCATTGTAGAGGAGTCTCCCAAGTCCTATAAGCATTACCTAGTAGTATGGAGGTATTGCAGAGACCCAGCCCCATGTGCTATAAAACAATGTCTCCCTACACAGATAATTAATTTATAATAGCCGAAAATTTGGCCCCTGTGATATTCTAAAAGTGAATGTTTAAAACAAACAACAACAGAAAACAGCTGCAGAGATCGATGATGAAATGGAGTTCCCATGAAGCTTCAAAATGTCTTAACTTTTGTTGCATTACCTAATCCTTTTCCTAGAAAACATGGAGAAATGTTACCTTATGTTTCGTCATTGCACCAACGATGAGCGGGCACACCATGCCCGACAGCGTTCCGACGCCATTGGAGATTCCCATCAGAATGCTGGCGTAACGTGGGGCTATGTCCAAGTGATTCACATTGAATCCTACAACAAGTGAGAGACAACGGTCAACTATACAGCTCTGTGCTACCGGGCCAATGGGGCTTTATACAACTGTTCTGGCTGAAGAAGGCTGAAAAAGATAGGAAGCCCCCTTACCATACATATGAGAAAGAAGGGTAGTAGTTTCTTGGTGACAAAGATGGAAGATATGTTACAACTCCCTATTCTTTTTCAAAACCTCATTTTTTTTCCCCACCTATGGGGATCATGTCATATGGAAAGTACAGTTTGTTTTGGCTTCGTTTGAAGTGTCTGTGCTTCCCATCTTCTCATACTGAAACAATGCACTCAACAAACATTTTTAATTAAGGAAAGAATGCCTCACGTTTGTCAAATGTCTGAAATCTTTTTATTTAGGTGGTGTTTTTTAATATATATTTCTGGTACTTTAAGTAACGTTTTAACAACATGATAAATAACCAGAATATAAACCAGTAGAAAAAATAATTACCCTTACTGCAGCGTATCTCCTGGATACATATTTTATTAAGAAATAAAAACAAATAGATAATTATCTTCCTTTAGATAAGGAAAATTAGTCATATGAGCGATGGATGATCACAAGAAAACATGACGAATTCCAAGTCCATGGGTTTAAATACAGTAAAAAGTTGAGTACTGGGAAAATCCTGCAGTAAAAAATCATTGACAGAAATGGTGTCCTATGCAAGCACCTCATAACTGAGTAGCAAAACTACTTCCCATCTGCACAACCCTGAAACAACTGAACACCAGCAGTTACTTTGCTGGTCAGTTTTGCTCAATAGGTCCATCTTCTTGGCAGTCTGCTTAGCTGAGTTGATGGCCTTCCATCCTCGTAGTAAAAGGGGTTTTTTTTAATAACAGTGGTACTGGTGGAGCTACAGAAGTCAGTCTATGACTGGTGAGACCCATGGAAGTGTTCTAAACAGCTGTTCTGGAGAAGGACTGATTATAGGACACAAGAAAGAGAGGACTGACCTAGAAAGCAGAAACTGGCAGCTAGGGCTGGGAGCGGGGTTGCAACTGATAGCCTTTGAGCAACTATTCATCCCAGAGTAATTCTTTTTCTCTCCTTTTAGGGATACTGTTTATGCAAGAAGAAAAGGTGGCTGACACTGCAAAAGTATATTAGAAAATAACAGCACAAAGCTGATGTGAACCGGAATCAATAAAGGGCAGGTTCTTTCAAAACTTCATGTCCTATGTGCAACATGCTTCATAGATTCTGAAGTAAATCATTTCTGATATGGGAAGAAATAGGGAAAGCCCCATAAGCAGCCACATTAAGAGCAGACAGAATAATAGAAATTGTGACAGTAACAACAGTGAAGGAGAATAGCATCACTTTTATCGCTAATAGTAAAACCAGTAAGATTAATTCTTACCTGAAATTGCAAAGCCACTGAAGCCTACTGCTAACACCAGAAAGGAAATAGCCACACCTTTTGTGTGAGAATAACCAACCACCAAAAGCAAGGTTGCTTCCATCCCAAAACCTTCAAATGAAACACAGGGGAATAAATTGCATTCAAATTATTATTGGTCACCGAGATACCAATAAGGTCTAGCCAGAACTGCAGCTTAAAATGAGACAAAATTCTTTTGTATCTTACAGCTATTCTTGAATATACTTGGCAGCTTTGTGGATTCACAGAAATATTTGAATATTTATTGTTTGAGAATATACTTTTCTCTCCTCATTGCTTTGTAAATGACCCAAGCAATTGGTGACATTAACTCACTGAGCAGTACAGAGAAACAATGAGAAAATGACTCCGTGCAAAGCACTGAAAAATTCACAAACACACAAGCATGGTAGGGGAAGGAGAAGAATACTTCTTGCCTTCAATTTCTTATGGTTGTAGTGATTTGAGATGTTCTTGGCAAATGAAGCAAAGGAGTGTTTTTCAGACAAGTGTGCCACCAACACAACAGGACATCCCTGAGTATCGTACACATTTCCAGCCTCTACCATTACTGCAAATTAACATTTTCTAGTATGTAACATTACAATCCTCCTGTTTTGTTGTGTTTTTTTTTTAAGGACACTGAAAACACTCCCTGAAAACACAATGACTCTGGGAATCCTTTGTAAAGATGCATAGCCAAGCTGCATAGCATCTCTGACTGCAGGCATCTCTATTTCAGGCAGCCTGTGCTGTCCATAAATAATGTAAGCCAGGAACTGGCAGAGGAGAGCGACTCCACAGGCTATCTGCCTTGAAATTTTTGCTCTAATTTAATATCTTCCTTACATGTAAATGTCATTGATTTTTCAGTTCAGTGACTGAACTGGAAACAATTATTTTGTGCTGAGTAAAAATGAGTCTATCTGTCCCCAGTCTTTTTTTTTACCCAACCTTTCCAGCCTAAATTTGCCAGTGTGTGTTGCTGGAAGTAGCACATGGGATCATGGGCAGTTATTGCAAGGCTGTATCCACTGGTAAAGGGTCTCTCCAGCACCACAGTACATGGTTACCTTTGTCTGTACAAGTTTGAAGGAGGAAGCCTATCTAATCACATTAATCAGCTTCTGGGCCAGTCCCTATTGCCCTTTTAATTATTAACCAGGCCTCCTCCCTTTTTGAAAACATGCTCATATGAGTAAGGATCTATACCTTGAGGACACCTAACATCAGCTCTCTATTAAATGCTTCAGATTAACCAGCTGCAAATGCAATCTAGAAGAATTTGTCTCTTGTTACAATATTTGATATTTGCATCAACTGCAGCACACAACTGAAATATCGTATTTTCAGAATCTGGTAGTACCTCCACAATTCATGACCTTCCTTACAGTGGTGGTGGTTAAAATCTTCCTGCTCCGCAAGAAGTCAGCTAGCTGCCCTCCGATGGGTACGATGATTGTCATGACCATGTGAGGAACTGCTGACAAAAGGCCAACCTGCAATTAGACAAATGACTACTTACTGCTCATGTCCTCCCTCAGGATTTAGGGAGAAGAGAATAGTAACCATGCCTTTTCTTCACCTCTTTTTCCTCACCTCCCCCCCCCCCCCCCCACCTTATTGGACACATTTTTATCCTTGATCCTTGTGTAGGAGGATTGCAGACCTTTCCTCTGACAGAACCTGTCAGCAAGACCTGGGTGACCTTAGGATGGGGTGACCTTAGGATGGGGTGACCTTAGGATGGAGTGGCCTTAGGATGAAGTGACCTTAGGATGGAGTGGCCTTAGGATGGAGACTCCACAACCTCTTTAGGCAACCTGTGCAAGTGCTCTGCCACCCTCAGAGTAAAAAAGTGTTTCATGATGTTCAGATAGGACCTCCTGTGTTTTAGAATGTGCCCATTGCCTCTGGTCCTGTCACTGGGCAGAGGAGCCTGGCTCTGTCTTCTTTGCACCTTCCTGTCAGGTATTCCTATAGATTTATGAGATCCCCCTGAGCCTTCTCTTCTCCAGGCTAAACAGTCCCAGCTCTCTCAGCCTTTCCTCATAGGAACTGGAGAGGCTCCAGTTCCTTAATCATCTTTGAGGATATTCATTGGACTCTCTCCAATATGTCCACATCTCTCTCGTACTAGGGAGCCCAGAACTGGACACTACTACAGGTATGGCCTCATCAGTGCTGTGTAGAGGAGAAAGATCACCTTCCTCTACCTGCTAGCAATACTTTGCCTAATGCAGCGCAGGATACCATTCACCTTCTTTACCACAAGGGCACACTGCTGGCTCACATTCAACCTGGTGTTCACCAGGGCCCCCAGGTCCTTTTCTGCAAAGCTGCTGGGTGGCCCTCCAGCATTTACTGGTGCCTGGGCTTGTTACTCCCCAGGCGCAGGACTTTGCACTTTCTCTTGCTGAACTTTGTGAGGTTTCTGTCAGCACATTTCTCCAGCCTGTCAAGGTCCCTCTGGATGGCAGCACAACCCTCTGGCATATTAGCCTCTCTTCCCAGTTTTGTGTCATCTGCAGTCTTGCTGAGGGTGCACTCTGCTCCATCACCCCCCCCATCATTAATGAAGATGTCAAACAGGATCAGACCCAGTATTGACCCGTGGGGTACATGGCTAGTTACTGGCCTCCAACTAGACTTCATGGTACTGATCACCACCCTCTGGACTCAGCCAGTCAGCCAGTTGTCAATCCACCTCACTGTCTGCTCAACCAATCCATACATCAACAGCTTGTCTATGAGGATCTTACTGGAAATGGTGTCAAAGGCCTTACTGAAGTCTAGGTCAACAATATCCACTGTTCTCCCCTTGTCTGCCAGGCCAGTCATTTCATCATAGAAATTTATCAAGTTGGTCAAATGTGACTTCCCCTTGGTGAATTTTCTGCCAAAAGGTTATTACTGTTTCTATTAGCTCTGGTACGTATCCCAGATATGTGAAAAGACTATTTTGTGGAGTTTCAGTGATCATCATGTCACGTTCTAGAAGCTTTTCTTTGAAGAAGTAATTTAGTGAGAAGTTTGCGTTCGTTTCTTAGGATGTGCAACCTCCTTACATTGATACTGAGTCAGTTTTACATTAGTTTTTAACTAGTGAGATACACAGAGGTGCAACTCTAGCATTTTTGAAAGACAATTCAGAATAAACAAAACTATTTTGTCTTAATACCCCTGTTCTTCATCTCCATGCTGCACATGGCCACTCAGGGTATCATTGCTACCACAACAGCATTGCAGAACCTGGACACACTGGTGCTCCCAGACCACACAGATAATGATGATGTTTGTTATCAGTTTGCAGGGTTACACTTGCTTGAAAATAATTTACAATACAGCAAGTAGGTTTCTTTAAGGAATGTTGGGAAAACTTTTCTGGAACAAATATTCTGAAATCCTCATTCATGCTCTGAAGAGGGAGTGTAACAATACTAGCTTTAATGAAGTGGCAGCGGCAGGTAATATCAACCCCTACAGAATTTGAACCCTCATTGGAAATGAAAAGTAATGAAATAAAAAAAGAGAAGAGGATAAAAATTATCTGGCGAGTAATGCTAAACTGCCAACACTAAACAAAATGTGCATTTCTATTTACTTGCATTGTGGTTTTCATGATATATGTTTTTTTTTGTTAATAATTTGATACTAGCAAGCTTTTATTCCTATCAGATCACCAGAAGTATGTCATCCCAACCGCTGTGAATAATCTACTGTAACGACTCCAGAGAGATTTGGGGATCTTCAAGCACTCTGCATCTCCTAGGGTGGGGTCTGAAGGTCACTGCTTCATCTCAGACATTTACCTTGCTTATCGCAAACCCAAAGACTTCTTCAAAGTAAGCAGGCTGACTTATAAGGAGCAAATAGAAGGTCCAGCTTCTGCAAAAGTTTGCCACAATGATTGCATAAACCGGCATTGAAGTGAAAAATCTCTTCCAGGGAGTACTAAATTTCTAGGGGAAAAAAAAAAAAAAGGCAGCATTTTTGAGTAGGCAGAAGGCAGAATAAAGAGCCCAGTATCTTTTAGTATCAGGCCTATCCAATACGTTGCATCCAATTTACACTGCAAATCACTTACAGTGCAAGTGAAAGGTGTCTCCTGGATTAGTGGCAAAAGACAAGTAGAGAAACTTTCTTAGAATAGTTAGGGGGTTTAAGATTACTACTGTACTATTATTGCTCTACTTACTGAAATTACACAAGGTCATCTGGAATCCTGCTATTGGGATAACAGGATCAATACCAGAGTCAAAAAAACCCTAGAGAAAACCTTGTGCCATTCCCCACTTTTTGATATGATGCAGTTTGAGACACTCCATGGAAACGATTGTGAAAAAAGATTATCCAAGCTAAGAAATATGTGGTAGTGCAGCAATGGGCAGGTACCTGCTTCATTCCAATTAATTTCATTCACCAAAAAAAGTCTATGGTAGAGGATTTAATTTCTATAACTTGCTTTTGGCATTTTCAGTTTCTATTTATGCTCAATACTCCATACAGCAGGAACAAAATACACTTCAGAGCCCTATTCACTTATAATAGAATTCAAATCAGAAGCTGAAATATGTAACTATGGCAATGTACATTGACATTCTCCTTTTTTACAAAAAAATTTTAGTTTTGTTCTACAGGCAACCGTATGCCTGTGGTTGTGTGTGAACACATGGTGGTGGTACTAGCGTCCTCTGCAGTAAAACCACTGTACTGCAAGGGGAAAACCATGACCTGGAGCGAGTGTGTGTGTCTCCAGCCAAGAACTGAGTGACTTCAGCCAAACTTCAGGAGCATGTCCAAAAGAGAGTCTGGTACCTTATACTCTCAGCAAGGCTATTACACAAAACATGTAGAAAAAAAGAGTTTGGAGTTATTTTGCTCCAGAATGTTCTAAAGTAAAAGCCAAGAAGGAGCAGTTTATCAAGGAACAGCTTTGTTTTTCACCACTAGCAAAAATGAGTTATCTAAGGAAATCAAGAGAAGTTTGATGGGAAAATCAGTTTTAGAGTTAAGTTTCCAGGATCTCCCAGGATCCTCTGAGAGAGAGGAGCGCAGCCTTAGAGCAGTGAGCTGAGCTGCTGTGAGAGTGAGCAGGGCAGAAACCCTTTCCTTAAGCTTTCAGAATGTCAATCATCCTTAATAAGAGCTCAGAAGGCAGGTGGATAATTTAACATCTGAAGCCTGTTTCTTATTTAGCGATTTCCATTAATATGTTTCAGAACAAACATGATAGTTGCTCAAGAGCAGGAGATCAGAGTGTGTGGCTCTCCCCAATCCTTTCCCCTCCCTAGGTTGGGGAGGCCCTATAAACTGAGGGCTGAAACTGCAGTATGTGTTTTGCCTGTGGCTGAACTCATCCTGTCCAGCTGCACAAGCCTGATCCTGGAATTTTCGTAAAAGGAAAAGCCCCTAAACATCAACAGCAAATAGTTTTGCTGCTCTTACGCAGCTAATAGTATCCAACCAGCCACAGGCTGATCTTGTGTAAAGTACTCGCAAATTACAATGAGAAAAGCCTTTTTTACTTACGCTTGCACTAGCTAGGCTGGCTCCTTCTCCGATACTTGTTTCTATATATATTCTTTCTTCATTGGTTATTGTTGGATGTGCAGCAGGGCTCTCATAGGCATGAAGCAGCCAGAACATGTACCAAACTATCCCAAACATTCCTGGAGAGGCAGGAAAAGCAAAGCTCAGTATCAAAAACCAATAAAGCCACACTTTAGTATCTGCAGGCCTTGACGTTTATTTCAAGAGCCAATTAAACAAAATCCATGTAGAAAATATGCCCAGGGAAGTAAGAAAATATGATAACTAGCTCTGCGTATATTGTATGCCTGCTTGCAAAGCGTTTGAGCATTTTGTCACTTGTATTATGTGATACATATAAGGCAGAGAAAAGGTAAAGCTTTATGTAGAACCTGGGGAAGGAAAAAAGCAGACCAGACATAACATGGTCACAATCTGCGTAAAAGAATGTCTCATAGAATCATAGAATCATAGAATGCTTTGGGTTGGAAGGGACCCCTAGAGGTCATCTTGTCCAACCCCCCTCAAGTGAGCAGGGACACCACTAACTAGATCAGGTTGCTCAGAGCCCCATCCAACCCCGTACAACTCTGGTCTCCAGAGAAAACCCATCTTAACTGGGTTGCTGATGTGCAAGGCCAGGTTTGAGCCAGCTCTGCCATGTACCATGGAGGGAAGCACCACAGATCAGCCAAGTGGCTGAACCTGTGTGATGGGACCACTTTGTAAAGGTGGCTCTGCTTTTAGCAAGGGTGGGGAGCATGGAGCATAAGGTTTCAGAGGCATTTGGCTCCCCATCAGAAGCATACTCTGTAGCATTTGCTGCCAGCGTGCTCTCCGGAACACCTATCACCTGAGTGTTTGTGCCACAGAGCAAGCTTTGCAACTGCATCCAACCCTGTCACTGGGTGACCATGGGCTGTAGCCTGGTCATTACAGTTTTAAAACATTTTAAAACAGATGGTTACAAAATAAAATCTTTCAGAAGCTGCAATAAGTAGGGAATAAGTTGGAATACCCATTTGAAACCTCTTAATTCACCAAACCAACTTTGGTCCGTACTTGTTATACAGGTTTAACAAAAATGCTGACAGTACCAGTCTAGTTGCAGAGATCCTTTACATTAAGCAACTCACCATAAATATAAAAGACTGATGACCATCCTATATACTGTACCAGCACACCTGCCAGTGGCATGGCGACCACCGCACCTGCGTAAGACCCTGCGAAGAAAAAGGATTAAGAGAACATGTCAGCTATGATAGGGGAGCCCAGCCTCCAGTGCAGGTGCTCATGGGGGCAGAACTGGAGGGGCGCCTCCACCTGATTGGCACCATGATTTCTTGTGAACATAGGGAATGGGATGGCTACTGAAAAATTTAGCATGGGGTGGTGGGAAGGATTAGCCCTCACGGGTGTGGGATCACGAGTCTCATTTTGCAGCCATAAGGGCTGTGCCCCGTAGATAAATGGGATTCACAAAGCTGAAACTGATGGTAAACCACCACACAGGTATAAGCTGTATGCACTGAAGTGGGGAATCCCACCTAACCCTGTGGCACACAAGTTGAGCTCTGGAGAAGGTAATGACCCAATTTTCTGAAGCCTTCTTGGTGTCCAGATATCCTGATTGTTGCAGATATGCTGGGAGGCTCTTGTCATGGCTCCAGCCACATGACCCTATGAGTGCTGCTAGCAGAGGGCTTGTTCAGACAACCCCAAGTCTGTTTAACCATGTTTAGTTCATAGCGGCGGCATGAACAAGCAGCTGGAATAAATAGTCAGAAGTTGACAGGGGAAAAAAGGTTTAAAAAAAGTGCTCTATGCCAAGGTTTCTGATTGGGAAATTTATAATACTGGTGAAATGTATTTCTGAGTGACTTGTAGAAAGACATGAGTATTTAAGTGCTTGGAAAGGAATTTCCATGAAGACCCTAGGGAGAATTTGTGCAATCTGGACACTTGGTTTCGGTGCAAGACGGTGCCAGTGGCTTCACATGCAAGAAGTGTTGCTTTGAATTATTCTAGGAAATGAGATACTTGTGGTTTTGAGAGTATTACATACTTTGTTAATGAATATTTTTTAATGCTCTACTCATTAGCAAATACTTCTCTGCCGTGGTTCACAGTGACCCTTCTCCCTTGCCTCTGTGTAATTCATTTTTCCAACAGCAATAGCAAAGCCCTAGGCAAGAATACAGTCAGAGGAACTGGGAACCTAGTTAACATGGAGTTTCCTTATTTTTTCCACCATTCCTGTGCACCTTTCAAGTGCAAGAATTGGTGATCTGTAGCAACTAAAATGGGTGCTGAGCTGCAGGATGGATCTTTCTCTACCCGGTGCTAAGATTTCAAGGAGAGAGCATTGAGGGTGGAGAGGTTCCTTTTTTGGTATGTTCTTCTACAGAAAATGGAAGTGCCTAAATAATCACTAAATCCTGGAGTCATCTGTAGTCAAAATAAAACTTCCATAATATGAAAAGCTGCTTTTTTTCTCATTTCCCTCCTCCTTTTATCCTTTCTCCTGTATGTTAGTGGTGTATTTTCCTTAGCCTTTCAGTTCCACTGCTGATGGACAGACTGGTTTTTTTCCTGACTTTTACATTTTCTATTGAATATTCTCTTTCAGACATTCATATTCAGCTGGCTTTACCCCACCACCTCCATTTATTTTTCCTGTTTTCTCTTCCACCTTTCCCAGCTGCTTACTCTTCAAAGTCCTACTATTCCCAATTTTTCTTCAGCATTTTTAGACATCCACTCGCCATTCCAATTACCCTGTTACAAATGGGAAGGGACACACCAAATACAGATGATGAGGGTGTCTTAGAGGATGAGAAATGACAGAGTGAATTAACAAGCAGGACCTTTTCCCTCAATGCCAACACAGCACATTTGAAATTACAGTACATCTGGATTATGCCTTCTCTTCCTTATATTTAGCCATCTACCCAAATCCAACCTGGAGCTGGTAAGGAGATACTAATATCCACCATTTTCTCTGGAATTAGCAGATAATTGAAGATGGCAGGGTTCCCAGAAGATGAAGGGTAGGAGAGTGCATGAGGAGGGGACAGCTCTAGACTAGACCTGGGAAAGGGCCAGACAGATGTGACACTCACAGAACTCTTTTCTGGAAAGAAACTGTGGTAGCACAGAGTGACCTGTGGCACTTCTTTTCAAAAACTCCTACCCGGAGGATGGGATTAAAAATAGAAGCCCGCTTTTTATTGTTGTTTCCTTTTCATTAGTGCAGCTGTAAGCGAAAAGAGGGTATCTTCCTTGAGGAACAAGGTGCAAAACCTTAGTATTTTTCCCGCTCCTTGCTTCACAACAAGGTTTAAGGCTCTTGCCAGAAGCTAGAGACATTCCAAAGGGAATAAGACACTTTGATTTCTCCCATATTCCCACTGTATTCCTCTCCTCAAGGGCTTCTGAAATTTCCTACGAGCCATCTTCCAGAAGGCCAGCTGTCAGCATTGGAAAGGGACCCAGAGAAGAGAGCAAAGTACAAGGCTGATCATAACTCAAAATGGAGTAAAGCAGGAGAGCCAGTGGCCACAAGTTACACCACCCCCATTGCAGGATACTGAGCAGCCAACCTAAAGTACTCAAGTCCTTTTAAAATAATTTTTTAAGTGCATGCTTGATTAGCAGGGTCAATTCAATACGTATAATAAATGGAATCCCTAAAGATGGAGCAAATGAAAAAAACCAAAAGGTGTGATTTCTCTCATGTGACACCTCTAGACCCATTTTGGTTTGCCATGAGAGTTGTTTTGAGGTTTGGCTTTAAATGATAAAATGGCGACATATTAAACAAAAAGTCTCTCAGGTTCCTGAGCTCAGAGTACAAGCCAAACGGGTACATGGACAGGTACAGCAAAGGGCAGAGCGTTTCCATTTCTCTTTTAAATCATTAAATGAATAAAATATGTCTAATAGCAATATGCACTTACGTAAACTAAATAGGCATATCAACTTACCGCAGAACGATGTGGTGGCCAACCTGCTTCTCTCCAGTGGAGGAGCCCACTTACTCCACATCCCATGGCAGGCTGGGTAGGTGACGCCCTGGCAGACATTTCACACATCATATGATTTGCTTTCATGCATTCCTACTTCAGCAGTTGCTGATATAGTCCAACCTGTCTAGCTGTTTGTCACCGTGGAATGTTGTAGGAAATGTTAAGCAAGCCTGGAAGAGCTCTGTTGCTTGGGTATAAAGATGTCAAACTAATTTAGGTAATCGCTTAAATGGTTCTGGGGTAAAAATGGTGCTTATTACATGCAGTGGATGGCACAAGGAAACTAAAACAGCTCGACCTGGAGCACCAGAAACCTAAACTTTTTATTTCCTTTTAAGTAAACTTAAAAATATAAGTTGGTATGATTAAAAAATTGTCGTCCTAAAAATGAGCAACAAGTAAAAATGTAGATTGATCAGAAAGCCTGACCAAAAGATCTTATGATTTTTTAGAGCCAAACCTCCAAAAGCAAATGCTGTATGAAAGGACCAGAATGGTGAGTGGTCCTACCTCCACCAGACCTTGCAGAATCCTTACAAACATCACACAGCCATAATGCACACTTGCCGCAGAAGGGATGAACATGTTCAGTGTAGATGTTAGAAAGATAGCTGCTCCAAACACCCTACGGAAAAAAAGTAACATGAAAGGGAACATAAGTATTTTCTACTTTTCAGAAGCGATGCTGTTCTCAGGTACAGTCACAGAGACAATCTCACATACCACCATCTCACCAACCCAAATACTTGTAAAGTCCTCGTATTGGCAAAAGGGGATAAATCCCTATGTGGTCAATACATTTCCTTCTCTGAATGGAACAGACATTTTATTCATACTTAAACAAAGGTGCTGCATTTTAATTGGTATCAGAGGAATAGACCTGGGTGTTGGTACTGGAGGCTAAGCTGTTTATATGAGTCCTCACCTGAGAGAAGGATTCCTATCCTGGGAAGTACCTAAATTCTGTTAGATCAATAGAGTTTAACTTAGATCAGGTAAATTCTGCTTTAAGTGCCTCTCTGAAACATGGGAGTGTGCTGGTTAGTTCCACTTCCTGCTGCTAAAATGTATAACAGGGCTGCTTAAGATCAACTACTTTCCAGCATCACTTCTCTAAATAACAGCTACAAATATCCTTTGTGACTGTGACATAGAAGGCACATTTTTACAAGACAGCTTCTGTGAAAAACATGATAAACATTTTGTTACCCTGCTTGGGAAGAGCACTTGCTGCAGCTGGGCACAAGTCTGTTGAGGCTCTAAATGCACCTGGGGCCCAGTGTGCCCAATGTAAAAGAACATCTGGGGAGCTCATTTGAAAACTGAGGCTGCTGCACCATGGAAAACGCCACTGGAAACCAAGAAAGATACTGGCAACAACTGGTTGGAACAACCATTGAAATTACCACCATTAGGAAGGCTCTACAGAGGGATCTGGACAAGTAGGATAAATGGACTGAGGTCAACTGTGTGAGGTTTAACAAAGCCAAGTGCCGGGTCCTGCATTTGGGTCACAACAACCCTATGCAACGCTGCAGGCTTGGGGAAGAGTGGCTGGAAAGCTGCCTGGCGGAAAAGGACCTGGGGGTGTTGGTCAACAGGCGACTGAATATGAGCCGGCAGTGTGCCCAGGTGGCCAAGGCGGCCAACAGCATCCTGGCTTGTATCAGAAACAGTGTGGCCAGCAGGACTAGGGAGGTGTATTCAGCACTGGTGAGGCCACACCTCGACTACTGTGTTCAGTCCCAGTCCCTTCAGTTCAAGAAGGGCATTGAGGTGCTGGAGTGCATCCAAAGAGCAACAAAGCTGGTGAGGGGTCTGGAGCACAAGTCCTGTGAAAAGCAGCTGAGGGAACTGGGGCTGTTTAGCCTGGAGAAAAGGCGGCTGAGGGGAGACCTTATCGCTCTCTACAACTACCTGAAAGGAGGCTGTAGCGAGGTGGGTGTCCATCTCTTCTCCCAGGTAACGTGTGGATAGGACAAGGAGAAACAATCTCAAGTTGCACCAGGGGAGGTTTTGATTGGATATTAGGAAAAAAATTCTTTACTGAAAGGGTTCTCAAGCACTGCAACAGGCTGCCCAGGGAAGGGATTTAGTCCCCATCCCTGGAGGTATTTAGAAGACGGATAGACGTGGCGCTTAAGGACACGGTTTAGGGGTGGACTTGGCAGTATTAGCTTTACAGTTGGACTCGATGATCTTAAGGGTCTTTTCCAACCTAAACTATTCTATGATTAGTAAGAATCAGCTGTACTTAACTGATTAGATTTCATGTATCTGAAGCCTCAGGTTTCCTTTCTGTGCAATAAATGGGGTTCAACAGCTGTGTCACGCACTATAAATTTCAAGAGTTTGTTACCCCAGCACCTGTGGAAGCTGATACACATGAGGATCCCCTCTACAGTCCTGTTACAGCATTGAAAAATATCGGAACTGGCAGTAGGAGTTCTCCAAAACTGCCAAGCACCATTTAAATTGAATGTCTTACTGCTAATCCTCAGTAGTTTACTGTTTTCTTTGTGCTGTCTGCAATTCAAAGCAACCATGTCTGGCTCCCTGCAGACTGCCTTTGGGTGGGAGATCTTTCATTCTCCAGGTAGAAGGTGTTGGTGGCCCTGGGGACCGTAGCACTTAGGAAACAGAAGGTCAGCCCAGAGCTGCCCTGTCTTGCTTCGAGACTCAAGGTGACACCCTGAGAATAAAGCAGTCCCTTTTGTTAAGGGCCCTCAGCTCCCAGCTACGCTGACGTTAGCTAGCAGCATGCTGCTCTTTGGGGACCGTCATTCATGTTCCTTTTTCAAACTACTCAAACTCAGTGACATTTAACAAGTTTCGAATTGCCTTGTTATGCGTGTGGCATTTCAAAAAGACACATTAAGCTTCATTCTGATATATGAATGGACAGATATTTGATCTGAAATCATATGATTTGGACAACAGTGGTATTTCTCTCCCTTTTGATTTTTTTGCCAAAGGCATACACAGATCTTATTGCACATAGCTCTTTATCATGCTCCACTTTAAAATATTTACAAACTTCTAAAACCTTTTGTTGTCGTTCTTTTCTTTTTTTTTTTTTTTTTTAATAAGGATTTCAATTTTTTTCCATTTCAGCCTGTTTTTCAAAACTTATGCACAGGAAATACACGTCACCTCATTTATTGTATCTAGGCTTATTTTTCACAGTAGGATTAATGGTAGTATTAAAGCATGAAGAGTCTACAGTCAGAGATCAAGAGTGTTTTATCTAAATTCTGTACACCTATTGATAAAAACAACAGTCCGTGCCTAGGCAGCTCATAAGCTGAATGACAAGAAAGCACCCAACAGATGAACACAAAACCAAAGCGGCTGGGTAGGCTGGCAGAGGGAAGTGACAAAGGAACGGATTTATATCAAAAGCGGTCTGAAAATCTAAACTGGAATACAAAGCCTATGATCATATCTTGACATTTAGGAGACTGCTTTCAAAGCCAAGTAAACATTTAGCTGAGAAATAAGTATTACTTAGTTCTCTATTATAATCAGTGAAGAAAAGAGTTTTGCACCTTGCTTCCTTGCCACTAATAGAAATATCAGGTCTGTTATCATAACTCTATTGACAGTCTTGGGGAGCTACAGCAAACTGTGTAAATTAATAAAATGTGAAAGAATAAGCCATAAGAAAGAGAACATATTTCATTATCCAAACAGCTAAATCTGAAGACTGAGTTTCCAATCTCTGCTACTTCATTTAGTGCCAACTCTTAATATCATTGGTTGCAAATGCATCATTTATACAGAGTTAGAACCAGTCACTCTTCTGATACTATTTAAGAGGGCAAGTAATGTTTCCACAAAAAGTCAGCATCTTTCCAGCAGTTCACTGCCATTTATCCCAATGAAAGCTGTTGGTCCACACCATAACTAAAAATATCCCAGTTCTGTTCCATTCATTTGTGTATTGTCTCCTCAACGCTGTGATCCCCAGCCAGCTGCCACTTTGGGATCAAAACAGACTTCTTCAGCGGCGGACTCTGGCCAGCAGGGTGCTGTTACTGAAAACCAGTATCAGGAATTGCCTTACATTTCACATATCCTTGTCACCACCAAACAATGAAACTACGTTTGGATGCATGTTTGAGGATAAGCAGCAAGACAAAGAGACATTGTCACTAAGTGGTTCATGAACATTTTGGTGAAATGCAGGCCTACACAAATTTGAATGACTGTATAAAGCAAATGACATGGTGTTAGATGGTTTGATGCAAAACTATAAAGCACTCAGTATTTCCAGCTGTTCTGAGATCCATTCGAATCCCTTGTTATTACAGATGATAACTATTTGCATTAGAGAGATGCCTGGGGCGGGGGCCATGTGCCATGTTCAGGATTGCACAGTGCTGAGCAGGATTTGAAAAGGTGATAAAAGAGTCTATACCTAAATCTATGATGTCAGTAATAAGATAGAATAATACATCTCATCGCCAGAATGTAGCTTGGACAAAAGAAAACATTTGTCTTGCTGGGGGAGGGTTTCACAGGCTGGCCCCAGATTTCCTGGTTTCCTGCCCCGTGTCTTAGCAAGTAACCCCTCTGAAACAGAAACTCAGCACCACTGCTGAATCTACCCAAGCTGACAATGGTCAGGTAAACAAGGAATAAAGGCAAAACATGGTGTTAGCCTGACCTGTAAATCCTATTAACTACAAACAGAAATTCTCGTTGAGCCCAGCCCTTGGGATGTTGTTGCTCCTCAGCAAATTCTACTCCTAAACCCAGTTATGCTAGTAAAATCCGTAATTTCATGTTGTATTATAGTATTAGATTGCACCTGAAAGTCTCATAGGGACAGAAATACAGCTTTCTGTGCACACACACAACACATACTTAAGGAAGTAGTCAGTGGACAGAATACATTGAGTTACAGGGTAAACATGGTTGATTTTACTGTTTGCAAGAAAATTAGGTAACAAAAGCCAAATTAATAAAACGCTGAATTATTCAGCCAACAGTGTGCACATCTGTGTTTTGGGGCCCTTCTGCTGCAAAAGCTGGTGGCAAGACTAAAAAGGCTGGGGAAATTATTAAGCTTAGCTAATTACTTTGGCTTATTCGGCAGATGGAAAAATACTCTGCTTAGGCACTTGTTCTGTGGTAGAGAAATTAATAATTGAGGACACTAGCAGTGTTGAAGAAGCAGTGAAAACTGAACTCTGAGTAACTTCTTTTTTTTTTTAGTTATGGATGGAGGGGATTTGGGACTGAACTTCTGGGCGATTTTATGGGATGACTCTGTCCTGGAGTCATTTGCATAAGAGCATATGGGTGGGAAAACCTCCCAGGCAGTCTTGTGGCCCTTATAGTTCTTTGCAGAATGCAGAGAGGAAAGAACATTGATTTGGGGCAAAACAATATATACCTAGTCTTAAAGACCTTTTCCTGTTCTACAAGTGTTTGTAGATAAGTCACATCTTGTTTGCAGAGAATGAAATGAGTACCAACCATCTTTATTATCTGTAAAGCCCAAATGCCCTTATCATGCACATCTCATGAGCTTGTTCACAACCAGCTGTCTTCAGACAATCTCCCTCTCTCTGTTGTGGTCATATTCCAAATTCTGAAGACTTTTTGAAGTAAAGCCCAAAATCAAAGTTAGCTTTGGCAAAATTAACTACTTTTCTTACTTCCATTTTTAAGAGCTGTTGAATAAAAAAAAAAAATCAGCCCACAAATGCAATGAGCATAGAAGAAATATCTGTATAGATGCTCAGAGTTCAGCAAACAAAAATCAGAAGTTCTAGGCAATCCTAATTACACACAGTCAATACACTATCCACCCATGGCAAAAATATCTGTGTGCATGAAGATAGATTTTTTTAGCAGGAGGGTTGGACTAGATGATCTCCCAAGGTCCCTTCCAACCCTTGCCATTCTGTGATTCTGTGTGATTCTGTGATTTGTGCCTTCAGAACAGAAATAGTTCTGTAATTTCTACATGCCAGGCTTCAGTCCACACTGAGTTTTTAAAGGCAAAAAGTCAAATTTTTTTGGAAAATGTTTGTTTGGTGTTGAGCTAAAAAGCACTAAAGGCAACTTCTGAAAGTCAAATGCTACAATCATTGTCTGAAGCATTAGGTATGCTAACACTCCTACCACTCTCCAGAAAGCATTATTGTTTGGATAGGGAATGTGTAAATATCGGAGATGAACAAGCTAAGTTGGGAGAAACAGCAATAGACCCATAATGGAAACTGAGTCCCATTTTTGTTTATAGACTAAATACTGCATGTTCAATTTCAGATGTTTATTCCTGAAATACATTAATTCCCTATTTTAGAGATCATCATTTAAACAGTGTGAAACAGTCATCAGGCTGTAAAGCTTAATTCTTTTGATTGTTGTTTTCTTACCTGTTAGCAGCCAATTTGTTTGCAATGAACCCTCCTGGAATTTGTGTCACAATGTAACCCCAGAAAAAAGAGCCATGAATGAGTCCCACTGTCTCTGGATCCCAGTTGAATTGGGCTTTCTGTAAGGGAAACAGAAAAAAATGCTGTAAGATGAAGCATACTTATTGTAAGATAACCACTATTTGGAAGTCACACACAAGTCACTCATCTTCCAAATCAAGGCAGTCTCTTTACACTGGTGTTGCTGAGCTTGAACCCCCCCAGTTAAGGCAAAAAGATGTCGAATTCCCATGTGAGATTACTGCTTTTTCTCTTAGCTTTCAGTTGGGTGGACAGGAGGGGGGAAAGGTTTCAGCCAGAGGGCAGCTAATGCTGGAGCTTCGCCTTTGCACTTGTCACTGCTTCCCCCTGGGCCGCTTAGTCCTGAAACGTGCTGGGTGTTATAACAAGGCCCTGATGAATTTTAGTGGACATACCCACGTCCCCAAGATTATCGAGGTTGCTCAGGTCCTTCGGGGTGATCAGCTGCCTGGTCAGGCTGGTCCTGTATTGGTTCTCCTTGTCAAGGCCAAACTCTTGACCATCCACTATCTGCATTAAGTGGCATGGGAGCAGAAAAGGAGAGGTGGGGGTAACACCTGAAGAGAAGGCACTCTGGAAATAAAACGAGGTTACACCAGCTAGCTGATTAGTTTATCATTTATTAAAAGTGATGCCAGTCATAGGGCTGGACTGGGACACAGAAGGCCACCCACAGGCTGGTCATAGATGGTTCCTAGCCAAAAATATCTGCAGCCAAGAGAAATGCTTTCACCATACATCTGATCCTTGTATACCAAACAGTGCCAGTCTTCTCCAGGCTCTTCCTGAATAAGGACAGTCCCGTTCTCTGATGACCCTGTTTGACATACTTTGTTCAGAGGAGGGATAGCCACAGCCCAGGACAAAACACAGAGGAAGTGAAGAAAAGAAAGGTGGATCCAAGGTACCCTTCTCCATTCTGGGAGATCACACAGGGCCTGGCTCAGCACAATCCCACTAATGTAAGGGCAGTGTCAACTTTTCCTCCTTGAACCCTTAGTTCAGAAGCGCTGTTTTGGAGCAGAGAGTAACCATGATGTTTTGCTTCATGATCATTTTTATGTTAATGACATGGCAGGGGAAGGTGGCTAAGCATCATATGAGGAAGAAGCACAGATGTCTTTTAGATTCTGAATAAAATTGTCACTAAAACACTGCAGAAAAATGAAAACTGGAGTGATAAACCTTAACATCTCCTTTTCTGTATTACTTTCTGTGTGTAAAAAGAAGAACAATTTTCCTCAGTAGGTTGATTTTTTTCCCCAAGCAAGCAAACTAAAATACAGGTCCTACAGGGAGCAAGATGGCATTAATTAGCCAGTCAGGTTTATAGAGGGCTAAAGGGCTTCCCTCCCCATCGTTATGCATTCTGACAGGAGACCCACTTTCCTGTGCTGAGTTACATTTCTGTTTTAAATACCTAATTTTCTACTAGTGATTTCCAGCTTAGTTTCTAGGTGGTATTAATTTATGAAGGCAGAAACACCATGGAAAAAGTTCCTGCATCAGGAGGTGTTCATGCCCAAACAACAATTTGAGATTTGTGAGATAGGTTTGTCCAAATTTCCTTCAAACTACTTTTTCTGAGCTTCCCAGCCTACACAGGCACATCCTGTCTCTTGCTCCAGGATGAAGTCTAGAACCAGAAATTCAAAGCGTGACCCCAGGGAGCAGGAATTAGACTGAATAAATCCAAAGTCAGCAGCAAGTCTAAGCAGCAGGAGTTGGTCAGAGGAGATTGCAGATGAGGAAGAACTAGGAAAGTCTTCATTCACTTTGGTAAATCTTTCTAGGGTTTATGGAGTCTGATTAGAAACACTCTTAACTTTGGAAATTTACTATAGACACATTCTGCAATTTTCTTGCACCAGAAGTTAAAATATTTGGGAGAAAAGATGATGAATAATTGCACAGCTTTTCATTCATCTCTAGCAACACTACAGAAGGTATCTGCCTCTCTGGGAGATGTGTTTTATTTTAGGGAATGTGTTGACAAACAAAGGGTATCACAGAATCACAGAATCGCAAGGGTTGGAAGGGACCTCGGGAGATCATCTAGTCCAACCCCCCTGCTAAAGCAGGGTCACCTAGAGCATGTTACACAGGACTTCATCCAGGCAGGCTTTGAATATCTCCAGAGAAGGAGACTCCACAACCCCCCTGGGCAGCCTGTTCCAGTGCTCCATCAGCCTCAGAGTAAAGAAGTTTTTCCTCATATTCAAGTGAAACCTCTTATGTCTCAGTTTGTACCCATTGCCCCTTGTCCTGTCGCTGGACACCACTGCAAAGAGTGTGGCTCCGTTCTCTTGACTTTCATCCTTAAGATATTTGTATGTATTGATGAGGTCCCCTCTCAGTCTTCTCTTCTTCAGGCTGAACAAGCCCAACTCTCTCAGCCTTTCCTCATAGGGGAGATGCTCCAGTCCCTTAATCACCCTTGTTGCGCTCCTCTGGACTCTTTCTAGGAGTTCCTCATCTTTCTTGAACTGGGGAGCCCAGAACTGGACACAATACTCCAGGTGGGGTCTCACTAGGGCAGAGTAGAGGGGGAGGAGAACCTCCCTCGACCTGCTGGCCACACTCCTCTTAATGCACCCCAGGATACCATTGGCCTTCTTGGCAACAAGTGCACACTGCTGGCTCATCGTCAGCTTGTCATCCACCAGGACTCCCAGGTCCCTCTTGGCAGAGCTGCTTCCCAGTAGGTCAGCCCCCAGCCTGTACTGGTGCATGGGGTTCAACCTCCCCAGGTGCAGCACTCGACACTTGCCCGTGTTGAATTTCATCAGGTTCCTCTCCGCCCAACTCTCCAGCTTGTCCAGGTCCCGCTGAATGGCAGCACAGCCTTCCGGCATATCAGCCACTCTTCCCAGTTTTGTGTCATCAGTGAACTTGCTGAGGGTACGCTCTGTCCCCTCGTCCATGGGCTGGAGGAAGCCTCTGTTCCCTAGGAGGGTCTGATGATACTTTGTCCTTCTGTAGTGGCTTTCCTCCTAGACCTCAGTACGTGGGGAATCCTCAGGTAAGAGTGAATATTCCTGCAAATAATTTGTTATGACAGTATCCAAAAATAAATCAACAAGTAGAGCAAATGTAAAAGAGGTTCAAGTTCATAAAGTCCATAAAGGGGCTCAAGATATCACAGCTATGTACCAAGGCAGGACTGGGGAAACGAAGATATGTATTGAGCCTGCAGTTCCTTGGGTGCATTGTTAAAGATTTGTTTGTAGGCATCTGCTGTGACACACATGCCATCCACTGCAAATTTGAAAATAGCTTGGCACCTAGCTCCAAATACCTCTAGACAGCAATCCACATTGTCAACCACCTGTAAAAACCTGTTGCTTTATCAGCAGTGACTACTTTAAGGTCTTGAAAGTCGTCTACTGATCTGAATAGAGTGAGCGCAGTGCTACATACAGCAATTAATCATTCCTTCTGTAGCAGCATCGGAGCACACTTCCCTCAGAGAAAGTAAATAGTAAAAGCTTCTGCCACTGCAACAAAATCTGTCTACAACTGAAAGATCAGGGACCTGATAGATGGGCAAGTCAATTCAGTTCTCAATTCTGTTACTTACATCCTCTATGACGTTGCAAATCCCCAAATCTGACAGATTTTTAATGTGACTTAGAGACCTAAATAGGAATTAAACACCAACACATCTATGTGAATCCAGATTCAGATGTCTCTGGTTTTGATCTATGTATATAGAGTACTTTGATATGTGGCACTTTGATATGTGGCACTTTGATGATTTTGCAACGGGGTCTGCTCAGAACAATGAAAGGAAGATGTTTTCTCACCTGCAGCTCTGGTTTCCCATTGACATACACAGTGTTATTGTTCACCATTTCCACGATGGCAACACCCAGGTTGCACCTAATCCCGAAGGAGATGCAAAAGCCCAGACCGCTCATTATGGCAATGATGTAGCGCTTGGGCAGCCCGCAGCAGTAGCAGTCGCACGGTGCTGGCTTGCGGGTGCTCGCCTGCACGGGCCGCCCCTCTTCCGTCAGCTCAATGCGATCCTCCTCTACATTGGTGCCATCGATTTTCCTGAACGGATGAAGAAAGAGAAAATGAAAATGCTTTACTCTCTCAGTAAAATTTTCTGAAACGTAAATGTGCAGTTCTGTCCCCCAGTCAGCTGCTAAATCACCTCCTTGCGAGGCGTTTGTCTCTTGGCTGTGTGATGAGTGAATGCTGGGCAGGCTTTGGAAGGTTAGCACAGGTTTTTTCATGCATGACCTCTGAATTTTGTAAATCCAAGCCACCTAGCCGGACAGCTAGCTGGAAAAATGTTCACAGGCTATTCATGAGCGTCATTACGAGAGCTAAGCTGAGCTCTGTTATGATAAATTCTGCAGATAGTTAGGAAAATGTGCACATGAAGAAATTCATCATCATTTCTAATTGGATCCACTAAGCAGAGCTGGCAGTAGGCTTTAAGAAAAGGGTAAATACAGTACAAAGCATGGTTTTGCTCAGCCCAAAATGCCCTGTGAATTTGTTATCACTTTTAAGACAAAAATCAGAGCTATACGGAAGAGGAGAAGAGGTTCTGGTGTCAAAGCACCTCCTTAAGATGTAAAAGAGCCAGGCCCAGACTTTCTCTGCCTGAAGGGATTTGAAGCCACCCATCTCCTCTTCTCTGAAACACCCCCTCACCACAGGGACTTAGGTCATTGCAAAGTGAACCCCTGCAATTCCTGTTATTGACCATCTTCAACTTCTTGTTTCAAACACTTAAGATCTGAAGGAAGACAAGAACTTTCTGGGCTGTTGATTCAGTGCTCTTCAGCAGTAGAGACTGAAAGGGCTCTGCCTGCATTAAACTTAGTTCGGCAACTGCAGCACAGTTGGGAGGAACAGGTAGGGAAGGGGCCAGGGATGTGGGCTCTCCTATTTACTTGGGATAGGGACAAATGGTACCCGGCCACTTCAGCCTGCAAGAGGCTGCCCATCAGCTACCGGCTGACACGGGAGGGCAGCTCCTCCAGCTTTGTGTATCCAGTCTTTCCTTTTCCTGGAAGCAACCCAGTTGAGAGATTCATATTAAAGAAAATGGCACTTCCATATTATCTGGAATTGCATGATAGTGCAATTAAAAATTAACTTGATCTCCCAGCCTGATTGGGGATATTAACATCCTGTGCTGTAGGACCAGGGAATGACTCCGGTAGAAAAGGGGGGGTTAGAAAGAGCTGAACGTGGTTAAATACTCCCTTTCCTAACACTAACTTCCCATGCCTTTGTTTTAAATGTAGAATATGGGTTTTCTGACATGCTGAAACATTAAGCACATGGTTAGCTGTGAATAAATCACTGACCCACTGAACACTACCCGCAAGCTTAAGGTTAAGTGTTTGCTAAAGGATGGCCTCAATCAGCAGTTCCATTACGAAGCCTTTCAGTTTTGACATTGCTCTGAAGCAGTGAGCTCAGGATCCAGCTCCTTTTGTCTCTGCTATGGAGTTACTCTCAGTACTGTGAAAATATGAACAGTTACTTAATCTAAAGGAAGCCCAGCTTGCCATATAAGATGATGAAATGATTTCATTCACTCTTTTCTGATAAGGAATAACTTATTTCCTTCTTTTACACATCTGGTTGGATGTGTTTGCAATCAAATGCACTTCAGTTTTCCATATAAAAGTCACCTATAAAGAAATGTTGCCAGTGCATATATGGATGGGCTACACCTGACCGGCCTACACAGTATCTGGTTGGGTTTTTTGGGAGAACAGTGTTGGTTTAATCACAGTTTTCTCCGGTTGTTGTAAATCTAATGTACTATCCATAATCTAACAGGCAGTACCCAATACTAAAGGTTTTGCAAATATAGTATGGCTTCCTGGGGTGCCATACAAAATTTCACTTTCCAATATGAATTTTCACTTTAAAACCTCAATATTTCTAGGCCATATAGCTACAGGCCAGCTGGTGCATCATTTACTATATTACTCCTTTTTACATCGTATCATCCAACCATTACTCCAGCCTTATTTGAAGTAACAAGAAAAAAAGCACATTACAGTCCATCAGCTCACATTTCCAATAAACACTGGAATCGGAGTGGTTTGGGCCAGAAGGGAACTCCGGGGATTATTTGATTTAACCCCGTGCTCAAAGCAGTGCTAACTGCAAAGTTAGAACGTTAGCTCATTGTCAGGCTGGAGGGAAGACTTTGCATTAAAGCAAGGTAACATGGGAAATGTGATATTACTGTGGTGTTATTGAAGGTGATTGAGATCTTATGATTCACCGTCAGGGAAACAGCATTTGTTAGTGAAGTGAGAGTACAGAGAGTAATGCAGTCAGGCACTTTAAAAAGAAGACACCGAGCATTCCATGCTCTGTATATAGGTAGGTGTAAACTGAATAAAATATCAGAAATAAAGACCTCGGGAAGTGAAAAGACAATTGAATAATTCTTTTTTAGAACTGTTGTCATCTCAAAAGAGTTATTAACAAACCAAAAGAAGTAATTTAACTGTCTTCTTCTAACATAATCTAAGATATTGATTGAATGAAATCAAAGCACAATTCCTCAAATTTTTATACCTTTACCAGGTTCTCTATTTATAAGAGAGACATTGGACTTTAATTGGTGCATTATTTGGGGCAGCTGGCAAGGATTAGACACATGATGCAAAGACAAAACATCTGTTCCAATCTGGACTTTTTCAGCTGGCTGTCGATTCACATAGGCATGAAAACATCCTTCTGCTCCAAATTCACTGTTAAAAGCGGTGAGCCAGGACTAGCGCTATGGGCCAACATTGCCTCTGCAGAGAAATTAATTGTTTTGCTATTGTATTCAACTACTCATTGATAAAAGCAGGTTGAGGACTGATCCATGACCCCAAATTCACACAATGTTTTTCATACCCCCAACATTAACCCTTCTGTAGCAGATTTGTCTCAGAGAAAACTATTTTGCAATAGCAGTCCAAAACTGCATTAGCAGTGCAGACATTCACAGAGCCTGTGTTTGACCTAGCTTTTTGGCCTTATTTCATTGAATAGGTATATAACGAAGGTATGGCAAATCCATGAAAAGATCAGAAATATATCTTCTAATTGATCCATGTATTTTGGTAGCGCTGCTGAAAATTTTCCCTTGTTGTACACCAATGATTTAGAAGAAAATAGCTTCAGAGCCAGGCCTCTCCTCTAATTACCTGACTAGTGCATTTTGCCGCATGGGAAATGTTCAGTCCTTATATCAATCTGTCTCCTTTTTTCAACAAACATACATTTTGCAAGCAAGAAGAGCTAAGCTATTTGAAGATATCTGTCTTCATGTTCTGTGTGCAAATGTCATAAAATCTGTATGCAAAATTTCTCTTCCTTATTGAATGGGTTTTCTCTGGCATATACTGAATTTTGGAAGAATGGAAGAAATTTCAAAAATCCCTATCAGTAACAAATAAAATCCGTAGAACACATATATATTCACCTACCTGTATTTATGGGATTTTAGCATAGGAATTAGTTATTTCTTCAAATGATAAAGCAGGCGGATTAGAATCAGACCATTTCATTTCATTTGATTAAAAACACATAGATTCTACAATAAGGGGCAAATGTTAACACTTGCCGCATGTTAGAGCATGTTCTAGAGTGACTTTTTCCAGATATTACAAGGAGCTGCAGCACAATCATAGATAATGTTCAAACCTCACACCTACAAATCCTGCATCAGTCATCACATGCGACAATTACTGATGATCCTGGCATAACTTTGGAAACCTACACACTGATGTTCAAAAAATACCATTCATGGAAAAGCAGATGCAATCTTCTGAGATCTCATATACTCTCTGGGGATTTGCCCAGGTGATAATTGTCCACACCAAACCCTGCAACTGATGCATTGGTACGAAATCCCAGCACAGACAGGCAAACCTTGAGTCGCTCAGTGTATGGGACCTCTCCGGCCGCTTTCTGCACGGTATTTGCATGAAACTCATGGCACGTCTCAAAAGTAGGCACCATGGGACTGCACCTCCCAGGCGCTGCACTCCCAGGCTGCAGGGCAGCCTCACAGTTTCTCCTCAGCACAGCCTCAATGGGAGGGATGCCCCGTGGGTGCTTCAGCACTGCACCGGTGTATTTTGCCCTTGCACTAATACCATTGTACACCGGGGCCATGCACGGCACACAGACCAGCTGAGTCTGGACACCTCACGTTGTGTTCACAGTGCTGCACAGTCTGCAGTGCACTAGACTCTCCCTACTTGTGTGCAAAGGAAAAATTTGAGAGGACTAAGGCTATGATCCAGCGCAGGCGGAGGAGCCCTGTCCAATGCAAGGGTATATCGCCTAGACTCAAGTTGCAGTTTTTCGCAGTTTAGGCTGTCTAATTCACCAAGGAACATCTGCAGCAGTCAGAGCTATCAGGGCCCAGACTACATACAGCAACTGCGTGACATGGCCCATATGACTTTTCACGTCAACAGGGACATTATTGAATTGTAAACCCGCTTAGTCACTTCCCACTTCATCAGTAAGCCCACAGTTGCTGTTAGCTGGTCCAAGACCTCTGAAATCTTCAGAGTAGGCAGAGCCTGAGATTTTGCTTTAGTTCATGAATTTTCATTTGACAACACTAAGTTCACAGAAGGCCCAAAGTGTTTGTGAATGCCAAGAAGCTCTGCAGGAAAAGCTTTCTTCTCTGGGAAACTTATAAGGCTTGCAGAGGCCCAGCTCTGATATCCATTCACCCAAGCCTTGAATTCCCTGAATTATTTTGGGTTTTGCTGCCCTGCTGTATTTAAGTAATCAAGAACAAACCCAATTTTGCACAAAAATTATTTTTACAAAACATCTAAAATATTTTCTAAAACGTCTTCTAAGATCTCACAAATCAAACCACTAGCAACAGCCTAAAAAAAGGACACCTCTCAGGTCTCACCAGTTCAGTCCCCCTTGCCTCCCTTTCAGGACCCAAATTTAGATTAAATTTAGATCTGAATTTAGATTTATTTACCCTAAAGTAACCTCCTGTGGGCAGACTCCTGTTTTGCAGCACCCACAAAATAATTTGAGATTGCTACACACCTGCGAGGAGGCGGTAAATTACTTCATGCTGCTTGAGCTTTAGCACTCAAACTTGTCTGTGGCTGTGGAGCAGCCTGGATCTGGCAGCTGATTTTGCTTCTGGATCTGCTCTCTTGTTTGCAAGACGGAAGAAATGTGGTAGGAAGGCATAAACTTGTCATATTTACCAAAGCTAAAAAGTATTTTTCTACCCATTTTGCTAGTTTTAATCCCACATCAACACATGACAGTCAGTGAAATCACACTCGGAGACCCATAAAGAATGCGCATTAATGTAATTGATCACTTATCAAATGCTAGACAAGAAACCAAATTCCTTGCTGATTTACACCATATTAAAGCCAATTGGACTGGATGAAGAGGAAAGTCGAGGTTGCGGCTGGTAGGTATACATACATACCTTCATGTAAAAACAGAAGTGTATGCACCTGTTTGTAGGCTAAGCGGTAGAGAATGAGGTTCAAGTTAAAAACATGCAAGTTTCATTCCTTACAGAAACCTTCAAACATGACTGCCTATTTCCTGAGACTGCTTAACTTGCAGCAATTCTTACTTAGATCTGATTGCAGACATAGTAAAAAACCTGTTATTATTTGGATTATTTCCTCCACTGGCTAGTACATCTAAGAAAGGCACTGGTATACATACGTTTAAAACAGAAAATAATTAAGTCCAGCAAACTTTCTTGTATCTCAACTTAGATTTGGGTAGGTTTGATTCAGTAGCAATGTTGCTGAAGTTGGATGCCAGTACTGTCAACTGTGTGGGAACCAGCCTGACATCCGTGATACATGGCTACAAGAGGAGAGTAATCTGGCTAACTGAGAGCGTGCATACCATTTCCACATCACAAACTCAGTGTACTGCCATATCACATACTCGCTAAATACAAACCCTCCATGCATTTGGTCAAATTGGCCAGCAGAGCCCACAGCAAAGAGAATTTATGACTGAAAAAATGACTTAGCTTGGTGTTTTAAAACAAAAACAGAATCCCTGGAATTACTGTAGAGTATCGTAAAAGTAAAAAGAGCAAAATGTCAGGCTTCATCTACAACACTGTAAATGAAGAAGAGTTAAGTTGAAACTGCGTGGAACAGATATTCTGTTCACATAGCATAGAAATAGTGTGACTGGCAATCTACCAGTGCATATTACACTTCTCTAAAAGTGTACCTGCTTATTTTCTTGCATATGCATGCTGTAGTCTAATACATGTAAATTTATTATACATTTTCCTGTGATCAAAGGCATGTTTAGATGTGCCAAGAACTACACCTCAACTCAAAATAGCATTCACAAAAGAAGGCAAAGGGACGGATATGAAAGCAAATACAATTCAGTCACTAAAACCACATTCAGTTAAAATGTTGACTTGATACATACAAAGATTTCAAACGCTGAACATCAAGCATGCAAGAAATGCTACTGAAACCTTTGGCTCTCATCTATTGATTATACAAATAAATGTTGTCAGTGGCCATTACTGATAGAAATAATCATCCATTTAAATGACAAATCTCCTTCCTTTCATGAAAGGGCTTATTTTTTATCAAAAAAATATAACTCTTTCTTTGTTGTTTCATAAACTGTCAGACTACGATAGAAATCTTTAATCTTTTTTCTCTTGCTAGCAAACAGCTGCTTTGCCTTTTTCTCTTTCTAATTTGTTAGTCTCAGTAAACATACACATGCACATCTCTACTTAATACATTTTTCTCTTACTGATCTGGAACAAGATTTTCAAGAAAGCCCCAGTAATTTAAGAACAGTAAGTCTAATTTCAAGAGTGGCATGATTTGGGAGTGTTAATTCCCATTAAATCATCAGTTTTCTCATGCAAGCTAAACCACAGAATTGTTCACATTTAATTATTTAAAAGTTTTTTAATTAAAACACTTTTTCATGCTCTTTGTAATATTAGAACACTGCTTTATGACTTTTTTCACCTTTTTTAGTTTAATACAAATATTCTTTTATCTATAGTTATATCCTGTTGTAACAGTGCTCCTTTTACATCTTCTGTCTTGCAGCAAGGTGTCTCTCACTATCTGAACTCAGATATTAATTTTGCAACTCTAAATTCTGTTTTACTTTTATACATTTTTCTAGCCTTCATTTATCTTTCATATATCGAACCAATGGAACTGTCTGGGAATATTCTGTTGGATTTTACCTTCTCAGATTCCCCAGTGAGTCACTAATGATGTTCTTCACCTCTTCCTTCCCTGGGTTAAAAAATCTTTCCTTCAGCGAACCGAACCCTTTGAAAGGCATTTTGTCTTCTTCAGTAAATCCCTTACGTTAACAAGCATTTACTTCTGCTGTCATATTTCCCAAAGCCAGGCTGGGGGAGCCTCCGCCAGTCCCCTCAGTGACCTCTGCAGTAACAACCAGTTGCTCAAGAAAGGAGCATGGAAGAAAAAAAAAAAAATAAAAAAAAATAGAAATAAAAAAAAAAAATATCAAAACAGATCTCCCAAAGCCAGAAAGTCGGTCGGGAAGAGCTCTGGAGTGAAACCCCCTCGGAAGCACTCAGGGACTCGGCGGTGCACTTGCGGCAGCTCTGCCGTGCCTCTGTGCAGGGTCGGGCACCTGTACGGGGCAGCTGGTCCGGGGGCTGCAGCTGGCGAGCTGGGGGTGCTGCCGAGGGCCAGCGGGTGTCCCTGGGTGTCCCTGGGCAGGATGCTGCTGCCTGCACCAGGGGCGAACCTCAGGCTGGCTCGCTGGGGCTCATCCTCAGTGCCTCCCTCCCTCCCTCCCCTGCCTCTTTTGCGGCGAGATCCCGTGCAAGGTGGTGCTATAGTAACGGACACAATACCTGTCCTCAAGCTGCTCCATTAATAAGACCCTGTCTATGGCAAGGGCAAGTTTATTAAACATTTACAAGTGCTTTTTGCAGGGAGGGAATTATTGTAAGCTACAGTTCCCATTCATTCTGTACCCCCCACCCAGACGAGCCCCCCTACCCCAATGCACCTGCTGGGTTGAACCCGGGGCCACCTTCCCCAGCCTGGTCATTTATTACTGATGTTCCTGGCCCCTCGGGCAGGCAGAAGCAGAGGTGCACTGGTGTGATGCAGTTTGAATAAGCAATGAAAGACCGGCTATACATTAAATGCATTGCATTTTTGAAACGCAAAGTGGCTGAAAGAGGTGAACCAGTGCAACTCAACACAACTTCATGACAACACGCTTTTTCCCAGCATGGCAGAAAGTATTAATGAAAATTCTTCTGGAAGTGCAGCCTGCCAGTACACTTGTCAAGCCTGCATGCTGGCTGGAGTCAAATGAAGCAATTCTGCTTTTGGCAAGGCCTCAGTTATTGGGTTTGGATTATGGACAACAAGAAAAAAAAAGCAGCCCCATTTCATATTGGTTTGGGGCTCCTGTCAGCCCTTCCCTGTTCCCTGGGTGGAAGGGAGGGCAGAAACCTTCCATGTTACTAGAAAAAATGAAAGCTTTGCATTTTCCACGTTCCCCTTGCTCTCCCAAGGAAAAATTAAGAGCCTGTCAGTGCCTCACCAGGCCACCAACAGGAAAAGAACTGGATTCCCCTGGAAGCCCCAGCTGCGAGGAGCTCATGGAGGGCAGGCGGGGCAGGGGGGCAGCTGCCCACCCATGAACCCCGGCTCCTGCTCTGCCACCGGCCACCCGGTGCCCCTGCACAAGCTGCTGCGGCTCTGGTCCCTCCCTCCTGCCCTATACTTGATATTATCCTCCCAGGCACAGGGACCATGCTTTTCTCCCTAACTTCTGTTCAGAGCTTGGTCCACCCAGACTCTACAGAGAGAGAGAGAAGGGAAAAGAAAGCGAGAATGCGATGCCTCCAGAGAAACAAACCAGGTCTGAGTTGTTTTCAGCTGCCTTAGGGCACTTACAGACTCCTCGTTTGGGTGCTTGAACTGAGTGAGTAGGATTGAGTGGGACATGAGTCTGGGCCAATGCAGGGCAAGGGCTATTTGCCCCTCCGTTCCTCCCCTGGCTCCTTGCACGGGCCACCAGCCTCTGGGTTTTACATATCTCCGTAATACAAACATTGAATGTCTGGATTGCCCCAGCACCACTATGAGGAAGGGAATATTGGAAAAAACACATCATTGTGGTTAGGTGAGGCAGACAAGCAGCTGGCACTGAAATGGGAAGGGAAGGGAAGGGAAGGGAAGGGAAGGGAAGGGAAGGGAAGGGAAGGGAAGGGAAATGAATACTTGGGAGCTGAGAAAGTTTTGCTTGGCTGGAGTCTCTTTTGTTGCAGAACTGGTTACAGTTTCTTTCTCCTCTTTGAATAATTCATGTGCTGTAGAGCAGTGCTGGAAAACTCCAGGCTCACACACTTGTCCTAGCAGACAGCCCTCCCATAGCGAGCAGCAGGAGCAGCCATGGCCGCGGGGCCAGCCAGCTCCCAGCACTACCTGCCCGTGTGCCTGTAGCAGGCCTTCTCTGGGTGCATTTCTCTCCTGTTGGGTTGAAGAGCAACTGCTCTCAAGGACTGCCTGGTAAACCCTCCCTGCAGCATGTCTTGCTGCCCTGGGAGCAGCTGCACTTCCTCCTCCTCCTCCTCCTCCTCATGCTGCTCAGGCTTCAATCTAGCCATCTCCACAGCTGAGCAAGAGGACGCAATTCTTCCTGGTTTCTCACTCCAGACCCCTGGCCCTGGTGCAACCTGGCCCACTGGGACATACTGACAGCCAGAGCAGCAAGGTCACCGCCGCGGAAAGGGGCACAGCCCAGCACAGCCACATGCACGCATTAAAACAAGGTCTCCAATCTTCAGCGGGCACACAGAAAACAAACACTGACTAGTATGGCTAACTGCCAGACGTCAGAGGCAAGTATGCTTGTAGGGTTATGTATGTAGAAGTATATAATGGAATTGTCTTCCATCTACACAAGTGTCTACTTGCTAACATTTGTGATAGTTTACTGAATGCTCTTAGGGCAGGTGAACACCTGAAACTGTGGAAGAACCCAGCTCCAAACTGGAAACAGTGCAAATCCCAGTGCAAGGAATTCACCTTGAAAGACTGAGGGTTCAGGCTGGAAAGCGGTGTTCAATACCGGTATCTCCCAGCAGCTGTGGAACAGAGGCTTTTAGCTTGCCCTTCTTTCTGGACTTCTGGTCCTGCTTCAGCTAACAAGAGCACAGAGCAGACACAAGGAAGGAGCTATGCTCAAAATTTAGTGCTTTGTTCACTTACCCACACATTCTCTAATTACATTTAGCACAAAAGTCTGTCCTTCGTGCATTTGGAAATGCTTCCAGCAGCTCCCTCAGAGATACGTCCTGGCCGGCACCTGGCAGGGTACGTTCCCCCCATGGATGGAGGGGCTCTCATTAGCAATATTGCCCACCTCACCACTAGCAGAACTGCCCGTTTCTCACAGCAGCTTTCACCTCTCCCTCCTCTTTACGCTTTGCAATCCTTCCACTCCCTGCAGTTCTGCAGTGTGGCAGCATTGGCCCCTTTTGAAATCCACTGACCCCTTCCCCAAAGCTTAAAGAAACGGTGTTACTCAACTCTTGCTCCTCTACAAGGAGGCTGCTAGACAGGAGCAGAGCTGCTTCTCCGCTTCCTCCTCCTCAAGTGCCCAGGGGTAGTAAAGCATCCAGAGTCCAAAACGTTGCTGCAGAGAGAGCATTGCCGCAGTTTTGCAGTGCCCTCCTCCTGCTGGGGCACTGTCCACAGGGGCAGCACCCAATTCCCAGCGAGCATGCGCTGGATGAGGCCATGGCGATCCCTGCATGACTAACCCCAGCACACATTTTGGAGCATCAGCTGAGGAAATCTCATGTCTTCCTTACCAAGACCTAACACGATAGCCCTGCTGGCCCCCAGTGTCATTGTTCCCACTGTTTTCCCCCTGTTTTAACCCTATGCCTTGATTTTCTTCTGCAGAAATTAAATTATCCCATTGCAATTCTTCTTCTGATGTCTCAGACCTTCTTAAAACACATTGTATTATAACATATCACTGCAAGCCTGCTGCTTGCAAGCTGTCCAAAACACAGCATGACTTAGGCCTGCACTTGCAAAGAAATATTTTGCAAAATTAGAACTACTCCTGGCTCATACAGCTTGTAACTGCAGCTGAAACTACAGACTCATATCCCCAAAGACCTCTAGTAAGGCTGTATTAAAACTGTATTTTAGAGGCAATATGGACATAAAACCAGCATGCAGACAGCCACTGCTGTGGGCTCATATACTGTCATTACCTCAAGTGCTCAAGAATAAAATGAGCTGTAAGGAAACTCAGAAACTGGTCAAGCACACATATAGGAGATGTGCCATCCTAACAATAACTGTGCCTTGCAGACACAGGGCTGGATTCGGGATTCCCCTCAAGAAAACTAGAGCATGAAAATGTCAGAGCTAGCAACAAACATAACTCTCACCTGGAAGAAATAGTTTCTACAGGTGCAAGTGAATGTACACCTAAAGGCTGTGGACTTTGTTGCAGCTATTTCCTTTGTTGAAAACCCTGGAAAAATCATCTTTATGCTGCTCTTACTGGTGATTCCTCAAAATAATGGCTGGGGTAAACTCTTTGTCACATTTAGAGGGAGAATTTTGCTGCTGGTTTCAGTGCGGAGGGGATAGCGAACACCTTTCATGTGCAGGTGTCATTCAGACAGTGTGCTTCTGTTAACTACGAGTCCTGATACAGCCTTGCAAGCAGCCACTTCTCCCAGTGTTTGTAAAATATAAAATTTTGAACTCTTTACAAATATTTAATTGTTGTAGTCATTCACACCCTGACACTAACATCCTGGGAAAGTCAATTTAACCTTTTGGTGTCTCTGCTGAATTAACATAAAGCTGCTTCGCTTCACGTTGTGCGCTCAGCCCTGACAATAACCAAAGGCTGCTGGGGTCCTCCAGTGGAAACACAGGCAAGCGAAAAGCACCGTCTCAGCCCAGGCAGTCACAGCCAGACTAGAATAATCTTGTTGATCTTCAACTGGTTTCTCTTCAGGTGGAGGCCATGCGCTCACATCCCTGGTGCTTGTGAGCCGCTTGTTGGATTGCAGATCGCTCTTGTTATTCCTTTGGAGCAACTTGCCTTTGGAAATGCGAGTTAATACCTGTGGCTCTCAGCTTCCCAGGTGAGTTTGTCTTTTAGCTCTTACCAAGAGCTCAAAGGCTAGAAAATCCTGGGTGCCCCATCTCCCTAACTTAAGATTTCTTGAAATTAAATCGAATTAAAACATTTCAATATTTCAAACCCCAATCTCTTTGGAAGTTTTAAATACCTCCTTTTTCTTCCAAATGGAG